GCTCTCTCTCTCTTTTTCTTGGTGAGTTTGTCTAAGGGTTTGTCAATTTTGTTTATCTTTGGAAAAAAACAGCTCTTGGTTTCATTGATCTTTCGTATTGATTTTTCTGTCTCTATTTCATTTATTTCTGCTCTGATCTTTATTATTTTGTTCCTTGTACTCCCTTTGGACTTATTTTGCTGTTCTCTTTCCAGTCCCCTAACATGTAAAGATAGACTGTTGTTTTGAGATTTTTCATGTTTCTTTAGGTAGGCCTGTGTTGCTATGAATTTCCTTCTTAGGACTGCTTTCACTGCATCCCATAGATTTTTGATTGTTGTGTTTTCATTTTCGTTTGTCTTGAGATAGCTTTTGATTTCTTTCTTGATCTCATTTTTGACCCACTCGCTATTTAGTAGCATGTTTATTATTCAGCCTCCATGTATTTGTGTGCTTTCTGGATTTCTTCTTATAATTGATTTCTACTTTCATAGCACTGTGGTCAGAGAAGACACTTGATATGATGTCAATCTTCTTAAATTTATTGAGACTAGATTTGTGGCCTAGCATGTGGTCTAGCTTGGAAAATGTTTTATGTGCACTTGAAAAGAATGTATACTGTTTTGGGGTGAAATGCTCTAAACATATCAGTTAAATCCAACTGGTCTAAAGTGTCATTTAAGGCCACTGTTTCCATGATGATTTTTTTCTATCTGGAGGAGCTGTCCATTGGTGACAACAGGGTGTTGAAATCCCTTACTAGGATAGTGCTGCTGTTGATCTCTAACTTTATGTCAGTCATAATCTGTTTCATATATTTAGGAGCTTCTATGTTGGGTGCATAGATGTTTACTAGGGTTATGTCCTCTTGTTGGATCAATCCATTTATTATTATGTAATTCCCTTCTTTGTCTTTTATTGCAGGTTTCGTTTTAAAGTCTTCTAAATCACTGATTCGGTCCTCTGCTTTATCTAACCTAATGGTAACTCCTTTGAGTGTGTTCTTTATTTCAGTTATTGTATTCTTTAATTTTGACTGGTTATTTTTTATAATTTCTATATCCTTTTTATGTTTGCTGTCTCTTTGTTGAGCTTCTCGCTAAATTTCTTAAACATTCTTATCATCAGTGTTCTAAACTCTGTCTCTGATAGGTTGGTTGCCTCTATCTCACTTATTTCCATTTCTGGAGGTTTCTTCTGATCTTTTATTTGGGACATGTTTCTTTGCTTGCTCATTCTGGCTGTTGCTCTGTGATTGCTTCGATGTATTAGGTAAATCATCTATGTCTCTCAGTCTTTGCTGGGTGGTCTTATGTAGTATGTGTCCTTTATATTCGAATTGCACAGTCTCCCTATTCTCCTGTCCCGTGTGTTCCAAAGGTATCACTGTTGAAGTTGATCTTTAATTGCTTTTGGCTTGTCATAGGGTGGGGTTGACCCTCAGGCTGATTAGCTGAGAGAATTAGCTCTGCTTACAGTGTATGAGCTTCTGTGTGGAGAGTGACCCCTCAGAGGAGGCTTGGCTCCTGCGGGCTCTTGTGCTTGTAGAGAATTTCCTTTGAGAGTGCTGCTTGTAGGTTCAACCACGTAGTGCTCTGGTTTGGTCTGATGCTGGCCTCTGGGTGTATTGTTTCTGGTATCTCTTGGGCAGGGCTCCCACTGAGGGCCATTTCAGCCCTGTCTGTTCAGGCTCATGGCTATCTGGTAGGTTCCTGAAAGCTGTATGTGGTTGGCTGCTGCCCGTGGTGGGCCTGGAGACATGTGGCCGTGGCCTCTCTGTGATCTGAGGCTGGCTGCCACCAATATTGGTTCTGAGGCAGTTTAGCAAAAAGGCCCAGGGCCCCCTAGGCCTGTTGTCTCCTGTTATTTGCCCGTATGGCCCAACTGTTGAAAGAAGCACCTTAGGAGCACGTGTCTGCCTGGTTGGCCTGGTGTTGAGGGTGCCCTTGGCAATGTGGCACTAGTTGGGCAGAAATGGAGTTCAAATGAGTCACGATTGAGACGGGTGGTTTTTAAAATATTAATGCAGATTCAGATCTTGTATTGCGCCCTGAGGGCACTGCAGCCAGCCTCCACCTCAAGCTCACAAATTCCTGAGAGCTGCTCCCAAGTGGCTGTGGCGCAGGTTTGGGGTCACTGAACACCACCAAGGTGCCCCCAGGGTTCTGCGGGCCATCTGCTATTGTTAAAAACCTTTTCCAAAGTTTATGGGGGTGGGGCCAATCACCCAGGTACCCAGAGTGCCCCTGACAATGCAGTTGTAGGAGGGTAAGGTGGTGTTACAGGTGGCTAAAGCTGTGGTCAGTGATTTCTACAAATTCAGTGTAGTCTCAGCTCCTGGACCGGTGCTGGGCCTACACCCACTTTGCAAAACAAAAACAAAGCAAGGCAAACCAACAACACCAAAAAACAAATACACCCGCACAAAAGCATGACAAACAACGAACAGACAGGAGAAACAGAAATATATAAAAGAAACAAAAACAGCTGAACAAGTCAGAAAAATAGTAACCAAAGCAATAACAAGACCAACAAACCAGAAGAAGTACAACAACAAGAAAAGGAAACAGATGAAAGAAAAAAAAGAAAAAGGAACAAAAATATGAAAGAGAAAAGAGAAAAATAAGCCTCTCTGCCCGCTTTAATCTACAGGTCACTTGCTTAGCAGTAGTCTCTGGGCGACTCAGCACCAGCTGTGCGGAGGGCAAGGGCCCAGCTTGGCATTTGCCTGCCTCCCTCTCAGGCTTGCAGGCTCCTGTGAGCTGCCCACAGTTAGCTGCAGTGGACTCTGGGGATGTGCTCCCCACCAAAAATCCTCATAGGTTGCTATGGGCCATCCACTGCTGCAAAAACCCTCCATGGCCAGTGGAGGTGGGGCCAGGCACCAAGGGCCCAGGGTGCTGCTGGCAACGCAGCTCTAGGTAGGCGGGGCAGACCCCCAGGGCACCATGGGGTGTGGTCAGTGGCCCCCACAAAATCAGGGCAGTGTGTGCTCCTGCACTGGCAACCAGCCCGCACAAACACACCAGGAATGCCTTGGCCAGATCGCACCACTGTGCAGCTCCCTGCCCAACACTCTCAGGAAAACTCTCAGTCTCTGACTGTCTCAATCAGCAGCTTTTGGAGCAGGAGAGCACCTAAAAGTCAGGCCATTCCCTGTCAATGCTGCACAAGCAGCGTGGAGAGTGGAGACCAAAGGCAGCATGCACGTGCACACGTGCACACATGTGCAGATTCCACCAGACCAATGTGGACCCCGAACCTGACCTTCTGTGGGAGGGCTTAACCTTGTAGAAATGGCATCCTCCTGTAATCCACTTGTGTACAAGCTCCACACTGGGAACAATGGTCCCAAAACCTCCCGCTCCAAAGGCACTCAGTTCAGTCCTTCCCTGCAGGCTCCTGGGATGCCCCCGCTGTGCTACTATCTCTGCCAGGGACCGGGTGAACACTCAACAGTGAGTGAGTTCATGTGCCACCTCCACAGGAGGGCAACTGGGCCTCTAGCCACCCTCCACACCACTGAGGTGTCCCTCCAGGCATTTGCCCTCTCTCCACGGGCCTGGAGTCAGCCTGCTTCATATCTCTGTCCCTGCTACCAGTCTCAACGTGGACTCTTCTTTAAATCCTTAGTTTAATAGTTCTAGTCAGCTAATGTTCAGATGAATTCCGAGGCTGAATGTTGTATAAATTATTTGTAATTTTGGTGTGATCCAAGGAGGCAGTTGGCATAGTGCCCGCCTATTCTGCCTTCTTAGCTCTCCCATCACGATTTTCTTGTTTGAGTTCAAAATGGGTCATAAAGCAGCAGAGACAACTCACAACATCAACAACACATTTGGCCCAGGAACTGCTAATGAACATACAGTGCAGTGGTGGTTCAAGAAGTTTTGCAAAGGAGACAAGAGTTGAGGAGCATTGTGGCTGGCCATCGGAAATTGACAACAACCAATTGAGAGCAATCATCAAAGCTGATCCTCTTACAACTACATGAGAAGTTGCCAAAGAACTCAACATCGACCACTCTATGGTCATTCGACATTTAAAGTAAATTGGAAAGGTGAGAAAGCTCATTAAGTGAGTGCCTCATGAGCTGACCACAAATTTAAAAAATTGTTGTTTTGAAGTGTCATCTTCTCTTACAATGAACCATTTCTCAATCAGATTGTGACATGTGACAAAAAGTGGATTGTATATGAGAACCCGTGATGACCAGCTCAGTAGTTGGACCTAGAAGAAGTTCCAAAGCACTTCCCAAAGCCAAACTTGCACCAAAAAAGGGCCATGGTCACTATTTGGTAGTCTGCTGCCTGTCTGATCCTCTATAGTTTTCTGAATCCTGACAAAACCATTACATCTGAGAAGTATGCTCAGCAAATCGATGAGATGCACTGAAAACTGCGACTCCTGCATCCAGCATTGGTCAAAAGAAAGGGCCCAATTCTTTTCCACGACAATCCCAACTGCACATCGCATAACCAATGCTTGAAAAGTTGAACGAATTGGGCTACAAAGTTTTGCCTCATCTGCCATATTCACCTGACCTCTTGCCAACTGACTACCACTTCTTCAAGCATCTCAACAATTTTTTGCAGGGAAAACGCTTCCATAACCAGCAAGATGCAGAAAATGCTTTCCAAGAGTTCGTCAAATCCTGAAGCACAGATTTTTATGCTACTGGAATAAACAAACTTATTTCTTGCTGGCAAAATGTGTTGATTGTAATGGTTCCTATTTTGATTAATAAAGATGTGTTTGAGCCTAGTTATAATGATTTAAAATTCATGGTCCAAAACCGCCACTACTTTTGCACCAACCTAATAGTACTTGTAACCTTATTAGTTGCCTTATACTTGGTGGTGCAAATTTCAATATATTCATTTGTAACCTCTTAAAGGAAAGCAAGATGGTGGGTCTTTGGACATCCACAATACCATATGTTACCATGTTCTTAACAAAAGGCCTCAGATGATGGCAATGATGATAGTAAAATTCTTCTTTTGGTTTCCTTTGTTTCACAGGATTATACACTTACCATGTATTTCCAGCAGTCTTGGAAAGACAAAAGGCTTTCTTATTCTGGAATCCCTCTGAACCTCACGCTAGACAACAGGGTAGCTGACCAACTCTGGGTTCCTGACACCTACTTTCTGAATGACAAGAAATCATTTGTGCATGGGGTTACAGTGAAAAATCGAATGATCCGGCTGCATCCTGATGGAACCGTTCTCTACGGACTCCGGTAAATGGCTTTGTGTTGCATGTTTTACTGTTGTTTTTGTTTTTGTTATGTTTTGTTTTTCGTTTTGGAAATGGGCAAAGGGGAGAGAAGCAAGTAGGAGAACATATAGATGCTTTCATCTGAACAAAAAAAATTAAAGTCCAGAAAATCTCTTTGGGAACCATTTAATCTAAATCTAGGCAACTTTGTCCATCAAAGGTAAGTGGATTATTTGCCCTGACCTTCAAATAATGAATAGTAATAAGAAAGTGTGTCTTAGCCTTATGGACTTCACATCTAGATTATTATAGAAGTTATATATTTTTTAACCAATTGCTTGAGTATCTCAGAGACACCCAGACTGAACAGAAATGTGTTGTAGGTATTTAGTATAACTACTTAATTATGAAAGGGAACTGGGAAACAATATTTTGAAGAAGTAGTAAGATATTTTTGGTGATTTTGAGAAGATCCACAGTGTTTTTGTTCCCTTAAATCTTTATGTTTTAGCTTTTATATTTAGATATATGATTCATGTTGAATTAATTTTTGTGTTTCATGTGAAGTAGGGGGTTGAGGTTCAATTTTTTTCTATATGGTTATTCAGTTCCTGCACCACTTATTGAAAAGAGATTTCTTGTCCCATTGGATTGTTTTGGTGCCTTTGACGGAATAAGTGTTTTGGTGCCTTTGACGGAATAATTTCCAGGCTCTATTCTGTTCCATTGCTCTATTAGTCCATCCTCTGGTGGTATCGCAATATTTTAATTGCCATAACTATATGCTAAGTCATGAAGCCAAATAGTGTAAGTAAGTCCTGTGACTTTGTACTTATTGTTTCAGATTGCTTTGGATACTGTACTTCGTTGCATCTACCTATAACTTTTAGAATCAACTTGTCAGTTTCTACCCAAAAAAGGCTGCTGGGATTATAATTGAGATTGCATTAAATCTATAGATCAGTTTGGGAAGAATTGACATTTTCAAATTATCAAATCTTCTCATCCATGAACATACTATATCTACATTTAGTTAGGTTATCTTTAATTTATATTGGTAATGCTTTGCACCAGAGTGGGTTTTGTTTTACTTCTTTATTTTGTTAAGAATTAAGTTTAAAAGAGGTACCATACACTTATAGTGGTCTGTTGTTAGCCCTCAAGTAGTTAAGGGGTTTTTTTACATCATAATTGTATGCCACAATTCAAATCAGCTTTCAGTTTTACGAAAGAAACATCTGAGTTGTGACATATTATTTTAAGATATGTAGAATGGTGGTTTTCTAATCTTTGTTATTACCTTTTGTGATTTCTTTGAGAAGCTGATAAAAGTTATATATACACAAATTAATATAGCCCCCAAATTTCCTACTATTTTAGAGTGTTCATAATCCCCCTAAAATCCTTCCTGATATTATCAACTCCAAGCTAAAACTCCAATGAAGAACCGAAATCCTCAGTTAATGGCTATGCATTTACCAATACCCCAAAACAATACATAACTGGAAAAAAAATATATATCTTTGGTAAAACTTTTGAATTTGACCTAGTGGTTGGTTATCTTTAATCTTATTGCTGGACACTCTTTTCATACTTTGTTTGCTCCCTTCTTCTATTAAATCTTACCTTCTTTCTCTGTTTGCTCCTTTCCTTCAGTTTTATCTTCAAGCACCAGTCCTCTCATAGCTTTTGTTGCCTCTACTTTCTCATCACTCATTTACTACTCATTCTCTAAAACCATGGCTCCTACCCATTTAGGCTACTTTCCTAAAACAGCTCTTTCAAAAATTACCAACACCCTTGCTGGGTCTCAATCTATACTGTGGTCTTCTCTGAATGATTTAAGAGTGATAACTGACCTTGACTTCAGGATTTACAAGACCCGGCACAATTGTTTCATTAATTCTTGTTCTTCTGCCTTTTGGCTCTTCAATCACTGGTCTCTCTTTTGCCCCTAATTGTGCACTAGAGGAATTTCTCTCAAGGTTTGGCCAACTAATTGAATTTAAGAATTTAAATACCTAAAACCCCAAACCATTGAGTTCAGGAAAATATTTGTAATTGTTCACTGAGCATCTGTATCTGGATGCCCTGCTAGTTCTTCCTAACCCGTATTTCATATTATCTGTTTTCCCTAAAACTTCCTACTTTCCCAGCTGCTAACAAAATCTTCATCACCCCATTCAACAGGCATAAATGTAGGCACCCTTGACTTTAGTCTCCTTTGTCTCTGAGATCCAATCTGTTGCTTCTCTTATATTTACAAACTATTTCCATCACCTAAATAAATCAACATCCTCACTATATGTCACATTCTGGCCAATTTCCTATCTCAATTTTTCTTTCTCATTATTGCCATCTTATTCTTCCTATAATGCATGTCAAATAATGTCTCTCCTGCACTAAAAAAAAAAAAGTTTCCATTTTCCCCACAAAAATTATGTGTTCATTCTTCTGTCTGGAATTGAAGACCCTCTATATGTAACTGAAAAGTCTTTCCCACTATATTGCCCATTTCCTTCCTCTATGAAACTTAAACTTTTATAAAACAACTTATTTATTTCTCTAAGCATATCCAGGACATTTCAAACTTAAGTATGCCTGAATTATTATTTGGATCATATTTATACTAAAAAATTATTTGATGTTTGTCTGACAATCAAATTTAATGGAGCATGCTGTATGGGCAACCCTATGGCGAAACTGAAATGCCCTCCCTTCTCTATCCCCCCAAAATTTTCCCCCCACTCCACTACTTTCTCCCATCTTATATTTTTTTCTTAAAGCCCTCTCCCAAATTCCATATTTTCCATGAGGATTTTTATAATCTTCCTAACCAGATCAAAACTACCTTTCATTTGCTACCTTACTTCACTTTAATCTCATAACGGCCCATGAGATTTGTTAACTGTCTTATTATATCTTTCTGTGATGCAAACAGGTTGTATATTTGTTGAAAATGTGAATTCTATTTCCTTAACCTTTGTATCTCCTCTCTCAAGCCAAATAAGTGCTTGAAAAATTGAAATGAAAATGTGTAGGACGTGGTCACCTGACTCACAATAGTTGTCAGCTGCAACATTTCCTATATCTAAATGATGGCTTTTAACCAAAGAGCAATCATCACTATTAATGACCAGATGTGCTCTGCCTCTTGCCCAAACATGATCCAGCTGGCTGCAAACACTGATTCTCTTCAAGGCCTAGCCCTGTGGGTGCTAAAAGACAGTTTATCTTTCCCTGAAAATGGCATGCATGGAACGACTTGATCCTGGGAAGACATTTAGTGGCATATTAAACCTCCTTAAACTGACCTTTTTTTGCCTTTCCTCCTAACCCTTGCCTTTGTTTTTCTCTCAAAGTTCCATAATGCTTCTTTCCTGCATCTCCTACCAAAGGCGAGTCCATAGCCAGGTGGTTTTGAGGGTCTATGTGAGAATGGGGAGTAAATAGGGAGTGAAAAACTTTCCAACCCAATTCTGGCCCTGCCAATACTCAATAGGCATGTTATAGAGTGCGTATGGCGACGTGTGTGCACACACTGTAATCACATACAGAGGACGTTATACATATCACACCATTTTAACTAATACTGATTGCAGTTATATCATGGAATGTAACCAATACCCAGGTATATAAATAATTGAAGTTATATAATACATCAGACACTATGCTAAGTGCTCTACCTATATTGTCATATTTAATCACTACCACAATACTATGAACTGTGTACTATTTTTTTTATGTATGACATATCCATGTTATCTATATTCTTTTTTTTTTAAGATTTTATTGGGGAATTGGGGAAGGGGAACAGTGTTGGGGAATCAGGGAAGGAGAACAGCCAAGTTGTTGTCCTTCAACCTTAGTTGTAGAGGGTGCAGCTAGATCAGCTCCCAGTCCAGTTGCCATCCAGCTGCCCATAGGCAGCTCGCAGCCGCTCAGCTCAGAGTGCTGTGTTCAGTCTTAGATCTTAGTTGCAGGTGGGCATAGCCCACCATCCCATGCAGGAGTTGAACCGGAAACCTTGTTGCTAAGAGTGCATGCTCTAGCCACTAAGCCGTCAGGCCGCCCATTGGCAGCTCAGGGCAGCTCAGCTCAAGGTGCCGTGTTCAATCTTCGTTGTGGGTGGGCATAGCCCGCCATCCCATGCAGGAGTCAAGCCAACAACCTTGTTGTTAGGAGCATGTGCTCTCACCAGCTGAGCCATCCTGCCACCTGTTGGCAGCTCAGCTGCAGCTCAGCTTGGGTGCAGCTCACTGGCCCATGTGGGAATCAAACTGGCAACCCTGTTGCTCAGAGCTCACGCTCTTAACCAACTGAGCCACTCGGCCAGCCCCTGAACTGTGTACTATTATCATGCTAATTTTACAAATACCAACACTAGGAGATCTAAACTAACTTTACCTACCTTATAATTTATTATTTACTTTTTAAAAGCAGATCCAAATTCACGTACACATTACAGTTGACTGATGAATTACCTGAAATCTTTTATTCTAAATGTTCCCTATTACTTTATTACCTGTCTAGTAATATTGTTTTCAATCATGTTATTTTTTGAGATTACATCTCTTTGTTATAAACGTGTTCCTCTATGCCCCATATCTGAGGCTTAATCAGGTTTAAATTAGTTATTATGTTGTGCTTTGACAAGACTGCTTTATAAGTCATATTGTGTACTTCTATCAGTAGACACAAATTCCTGGCTATATTTCTTTTTGTGATGTGAAAATTGATGAGCAGATTTAGGCAATGACAACCTGATGTATCCATTATAATAATCCCATTAATTTATATGTAACTATATTAGTTTGCTAGGGTGCTGTAACCAAGTATCACAAAATGGCTGGGTTAAACAACAGAAATTTATTGTCTCACAGTTCTGGAGTCTACAAAGTTAGTTTCTTTTGAGGACTGTGAGGGAAGGATATGTTTCAGGCCTCTTTCTTTGGCATGTAAATAACTGACTTCTCCCTGTATCTCTTCACATTGTCTTCCTTCTCTGTGTATTTCTGTGTC